TATATATATATTTATTTTTTATTATTAAGAAACTTCATCAGCACATCAAAAACGAAATACGCTAGTAATACAGTGGAAATCTTACAGGAAAGTGTGTTAATAAAAATAGTCACTTGACTCGTACCGATAGCTTGCCATTTTAACCAGAAAAAGTTAAATTTTACTATTATGACAGTATTAAAGTGACACTAAAGTCAAAAAATGTTTCCCCTTCCCCCAATGTTAATGTTAGCACTTACCTTAAATGAGGTTTCTTAATCCGATCTTCCTCTTTCCTGATGTTTTCATCTGTCCCTCCAGCGGTGCGGCGGCTCTCCGATCCAGCGCTGACTCCTCTCTGCTTGCTGGCACTTCTGATCCCACGGTGTCTGCATGCCGGTGCACGCGTCTATAGACTCACCTTGCGTCTCCCGCCCGAGAATCCGAACTGCGCATGCGTCCGCCCCAAGATGCTTTGCCGCTGCCTGAGCAGTTTTGGATTCTCGGTCGGGAGCGCGGGGCGAAAACAGGGTAAGTTTAAACCGCTGTTACAGGGGGGGTGGTTTTTTTTGGCCACTTTTTGCCTATATCTACTGCTTGCAAAAAACACGGAGGGTTTAGAACCCCTTTAATGTGAAAATATAAAGAGATGTGATATCCAGTAGCATGCTATTGAAGGAGCCAGGTATTCCATAGATGATCACTATGGAGTTTGCTCTACTGCCAACCAAGTCTGCATTTCTTTATTTTTAGGGCTTGTTCACACCATGTCAGTAGAGCTGTGTTTCTGCACAAAGCAAACCGATTTTTTCCATGTACCTGTCCATGTGTGGTGGTGTGCAGAAAAAAAAAACAGCGCAACAGACATGGTGTGGACAAGCCCTTACTGGCCATCAAGACTGTAAAGAAAAAAACAAAAACCAGAGAACTATATTCAACAGGATCTCTACAGGATGACTATTGTCCCTCCAGTTATGAGCTGAAATAACATGCAGAAAGAGCAAAGTGTATGGCAAGACCAAATAAAAATAAAGCATATGCAGTACACCTCTGCAATTCATGCACATTGCCCCATGTTGTATCCCTTTAACCCTTTCGCTGCCAAGAACGTACGGCATACGGAGCTACAAAAGTGCTTCTAAATGTAAATTAAAATTTAAAAAAATGTAAAAAAAAAACGAATAAAAAAAAAAAGAAGAACAACCCCTCCCTCCCCCCACATAACATACACATATTTAGGTGTATGCCATTCACATGCGCTGCAGTGCGTTGTTAGAACGCATTGCAGTGCATGATTTTTTTATGTATTTTTTTCTTTAAAAAAAAAATTAATTAACTGTGGCAGCGCATGGCAAAGCTTTGTGATGCATTGCCATGCGTTGTGATCTTTG